AATACCACAATGACAGGCACTCCCATCATGAAACCACTGTTACAAATTACCATCTGCAGTGCAGTAGCTTAGTTCCCAGGGACAGCTTTTTAGTAAATAGATAAAATAAGATTTTTCTTTTTTTTTGTTTGTTGTTTTGTTTTGTTTTTGAGACCAGGCTTTTCATAGTTAAGAGCAAAAATTATTTTATGAGTTGGTATTAGTGTTTAATTTGCATCTATGTGGTCTTCTGCATAAAAAGTATGTGCTAAATGGCATTTTTTACTCTTATGGCAACTTGTACAAAGATGTAGTTAACTAGGGGCTGGGGAGATGGCTCAGTGGAATAAGTGCTTCCCTGGCAAGTGCAAGGACCTGAGTTCAATCCCCGGTTCCACAAAAAAAAATAAATAAAATAAAAAGATGTAGTTAACTAGGTTTTGGAAGAGTAAATATGAACCTTTGTTCCACAGAACTCTGAACTACAATAGCGAGACCAGAACTGTACATTTAGGGTATATCTTAAAGTTATTTTGCTTTTGTTTGTGATTCCACAGATATCTCTATTATTCCATTTTCCTTTTTTTGCAGTCAATATCTACTAAATGGCATGAAAATTTATGCTTGAGTTAGATAAGAGCATGTTGACTGGGATGAATATATGTGGATTCTCCTGAGGTTAGTTTCATTATCAAGTTCTAAGTCTAATTACTAGTCTACTTAGGTTTTACAGGTATGAGTAATATTTTTTCTGCATAATTATGTTGTTTTACTCTCTAGTTCTTAAAGAAAGCAAGCTGGAAGAAATTTAAGTCTTGTAATTTGCAGCCAAAGAGAGCACAAGAAAGTCATATCTTGTAGAACCCCAGAGCAAGTGGCCTACTTTCTTGCCTGGCTTGTACAATCTCCTGGATTTAGTAAGGAAAGATACTGTTGTGGCTATATAAGTAAAGAAACAAGTAGCCACATGTGTGGTGTGCACACATGCATGTATACACTGTACGCCTTGTTGATGGAAAATTTCACTTGATTGTGATTCTATAATCTGTCTGAATTTTCTTTGAGAAAAAAGGAAGATGAGGTGAGCATCCAGTAGTATGAGAAACAAGAAGGAAAGAAGAAAAATACCTCTTAGTGAGAATTTAAATACTACATGTAGATATAGGTTGGAATTATACCTAACTAGAACACTTATACTGGACTTCAGTTCTCTTGTTATGTAGAAAAGATTTTTGTTAAGGTTAGGATCATGAAATTCATCTTTTTCTCTTTCTGTAGCTTTTTGGGATGAACTATTTAAGAAATAGTCTTCGTAAAACATAAATAAGCATAGGTTTTAGTAATTATATTTTATGGAAAGATATCATAATGAATGACATAAGAGATATGAAAACACCATAAGCTTCTAAGGAGAAAGGTACTGCTGTATTAGCATTCTTTTTACATCAGGATAATTCACTTTCCTCAGTTTTAAACTTTATGAGTGTGCATGATTAATTAAGGAATTATGACCTTACTAAGTTTGTTTTCAGGGAAAAAGAGTTGTGTTAATTTTAAATATTAAAGAAATGCTTACAATGTAAGGTCAAGTTAATAGTACAGATTAATCTTGAATGAGATAATAGAAATATTGTATCTATAGGAATTTAAATTTTATTATTCCATTGCTAGGGTAAAGTGAGACTGGAACTTTAGCCTTTTCTCTCCAGTTATAGTGACCTTTGGCATAAACAGACCTGTCATTTGCCAGCTGCCTGGTTTAGGACAAATGTTTTAACTTTTATGAGCCTCAATTTCCTCAGCTGTATAAAGGGTACAGTACTGTTGTATTCCCACCAAGCAATCTACGGAAAGTCTTCCCTTGTAAAAAGTGCTCAGATGTTTACCTTTGGAACCCTTTGCTCTGGGTCCCATGTTTGTACTGAAAATGGTTTAGTAGAATGAGGAAAGAAAGCAATAGAATTATTCCTGAAAGAAAGTGACATTGAAGACAGGAAAACATTTTCCTATTCATTTTATTGTCTGCATGACCGTCCAGAGAGCAACATATAGTACATGACATTTGAATATGGATTTCCCTTGAGGAAACTATTGCAATAAAGGAGGAAAAATAATTATTCTATTTTAGTCCTGCTTATTATACATTAAAATTTGCCTCTTTCATTTTTGTCTATATTTTAAATGTGATGTGACTGTCCTCAAAAAAAAAAAAAAAAAAAAATTGATGGTCAGAAGCTTGTTGTATGAGCTTCTAGAGTATTGAAGCTTTCTCTTTTGTATTACGACTTCTTCGGTTTCTGGTCAGCATGTTTATTTCCAGGAAGACAAATAGATGTTCTTTTCAGATCGCTGACATAAAACTGCCATTTGATTGCAGAATTTTCCATTAATACAGTGCAATTTATTTCAATAATTCATATTAGCATAGTCTTTGTGCCATTAAAATATTATATAATTCAGGAAGCAATTTTTTAGATACAATGCAAATCTGGAAGAACCATATATATATATATGCATAAGACATTGTATAAATGAATGATACTTTTATTTTGTTTTTTGAAGGATACAATGTTTCCTACAGGAGTTCAAAAATCTCTGGTCAGCACACACCAGGCAGTTTGGCTCACACACTGGGCAGAGACAAGGATGGAGCCCTTTAGATCGCTGATCACACCCTTTTGCCTCGGGAAGGGAGGAAGGGTGGCAAGGTGCAGCCTGGGAGTTGGGGTAAAATTACATAGCTTGTTAAGACCCTGGCCTCTTTGTTCCCCTGCTTATCACTGGACAACTAGGGAGTCTGCCTAGCACACAGACAGCTGAGACCCTATCACCTCCCCTTAGGTTTCCTGCCTTTTCCTCCCAGGGGGACAGGAGACCCACAGAGGGCCCAGGGGCCCAGGGCTGAAACACAACATACCCTCTTCCCTGGTTAAAGTTGTTTTTTGATGTTGATGGCATAAACCCAGGGCCATGGCTCTTCTCCTAGGTGGCTGGGGCCACAGCCCTGCAGACAGCATTAAAGATGGTAGGCATCCAGGCCCTCCACAGGGTCCTCCTCAGATATGGATGTGGAAGCACTGAGAAAGTCAGGGGCGTTGGTGAGCATGTCCTCAAAGGCAGCAAAGGCCGGTTTGCATTCACCATCCAGGTCAGCCTCCTCGATGACCTTGTCACACACCAGCACCGCCTCATCCTCATCCAGCTCTGACTTGGTGAGCTGAGGCAGTGTCAGTTCCAGGTCCTCCTTGCAGATGAAGTTGTCAGTGTTGAAGTGATAGATCTTGAAGGCATAGTTGGCCTTCAGCTCCCGGGGCGCTGATTCGCAGAGCACGGAGAACATGTCCACAAAGTCTTTGAAGGTGAGGTTCCCCTCACCATCCTCGGAGAAGGCCTCCACGATCCTCTCCTCAGAAGGATTCTCCTGGTAGTTGTCCAGCTTCTCTTTGGTGAAGATGGCCTGCTTGTTCCCCAGGGCGCCTGCCTGGAGCCGGGAGCCCCCTTCCCCTGCCCTTGCCAGCCGGGCTGGCAGAGTCCACCACCCGTCACTTCCCTGTGCTGGCCAAAAGGGGTGAATGATACTTTTCTACAACCAAAAGTTTTTGCTATTTGAAAAGTGATGCTCTCCTTTTCTAATATCGATCCTTTATTTTCCCTATAATAGAATTTTTATAAATTTAATCATAATGTAGCCATCAACTTCCTAGAAATTAACAAGAGAAGTAAATATATGAGTGTGGATCTTATTTTATCATTCATTAGCCCCAATTTCGTGCCTTTATCCCTTCTTCAATTCATTAAAATGATAGTTTCGCAAGACAGCAGAGTATGGAACTTGCAGATGTTGGGTTTGTACCTGAAGTACTAGCGGATGGTATACCTTACAAAGAATTCTGGGTTTGGTCATTGCAGCACCTCAGAACAAGCTGAGCCCTCTGATCATTATGACCTCTGATCATACTTGCTGATCTTCTAAAAGCTGTGTAAAGAAAGAATAGCTTTTGGGTTCCCCTCCCTCGGTGTTGTATTGGACTGCCTCAAATATTTTTTTTTGTGATTTTTATATAAATCCTGGAGTATACAAAATATGATTGTTTTAAAAAAGAAAGGAACTAAACATTCTCTTAGACTGGTATAACTGAAAGATTATTCATCATGTGATATATCAATCCCCTCTAACAAATGATAAGCCAAAAGTGCAAAGGGCCAAAGTGATTCCAACAAGGGCATTGGGTTAAGTAGTCAGGGACAAAGTTGGAAATCCAATTAGGATGCCTCGATTTAGGGCTCTTTCCTATGAGCCAGTCCATTTTACATGAAGGATTTGAGTGTTCTGATACCCAGGGTGGTTCATTTAATGGATAATCTATATTATTTGGGGAAAGAATGTAAGGTCAGATGTGCTCTATTTAAGGTATTATCTTGGAGACAGGAGTAACACAAGAGCTTGTTTTAATCTTTTCTAAAATAGCAGTTCTGTCACTCACCACCTATCATCTAAGTCCTAAGTCTCAGTTCCATGTCTAGCATGTTCTAGGTCTGTGTTATTTCCTGAGGAGTCAAAGGTAAATGAGACATTGTTGAAGATCTCAAGGAGTTATAATTCAGCCCTGTGCTAACTAGTCTTCCCTGCATATTGAGGTGGAAGGACTGATCCTAA